GAAAAAGAAAGAAAATTTCTTGTACTGTCCTTGTAACTTTCTGTTGTTTAAAATTATTCCAAAATCAAAATATCTTTAGCATTGAAAAGACAATTGTAGCACAGCACCCACCTGGCTCAAGTGTCAGACGAGCTCGATTCTCGATTCTGGATGTTCTTAGTGTCCTATATTAATCTGTATGTGATTATAGTTTAACTCTTCAGCTATTATTATATTAAGCAGCTTTTTTCCACATTTTTGCTGACCCATAATTTAACTGTTTTACCCAGACAACAAATATTAGTTACATTTCTGGGAAGGCAATAGTGGGCTCTGGTATCAGCTGACTGCGTTGAAACCCTGCTGCCATCACATGCTAGCTGTGGGATCTTAGTCAAATTACTTAACATCTCTGTGTCTCAGTTTCGCCACCCATGAAATGTGGATAATAACACCTACCTCACTGGGTTGTCATGAGAATTAAATTTGATAAACTATGCAAAGCAGTTAGACAATGAGGAGAATTTAGCCGACATATAATAAACGTTAACTGGTATGAACTGGTATTATCCTGCTGCCCACATTGCTCTATTAAATAAAACATAAACATCGTTGGTGGCAGTGCACACTCTTTGAGAGCATTCCTCCCTCATATAAGCTGAATTTATTTTTTGAGTGTGTATCTTCTAGAGAATTTCAAAATGTGTGAGATGAGAATGTAGCTGGATGGCATCACGCAAAATTAAAGGTGGAATTCCTCATAAATGAAAGAGTCCTAAAAAATAGCCAACCCTTCCTGACCTGAGAAAAATTAATATACCATTTGTAGTAATCAGCTATTGTCAAAATAATGCTGTGTAACAAATCACCCCAAAATGCATTACCTTACAACAAAAATATTTGTTCTCGTGCTCACAGGTTTGCAAGTTGACTATAGTTCACCTGATGTAGGGTACGTTCAACTGGGCAGTTCTGTTTCAAGCTGTGAGTTGCCTAGGCTTGGCTTCAGATTGTGGCTTGGGTTCAAGTCTGCTCCATGTGTCTCTCATCCTCTTTAAACCAGTGTCTGAGAGGCATTTCTTGTCGTGACAAATGTTAGGAGCACAAGCACCGAGTCCAATTATGCAGCACGTGTAAGCCCTTTGCTCACATTGCCTCCACTAGCATTTCATTAGCCAAATTAAGTCACCTGGTCAAGTCTAGCGTCAGTGGGGTGGGAAATATTCTCCTGCCCACAGTGGGAGGACACTGAGGTGTATAATCTGTTACAGGGGCCTGAAGAATTAGGACCAATGATCCAATCTGCAAAGCACTGTATTTGATTTGCCTATGCTCTGTCCGTGTCCAGAAATCCTTGGGACCTTTGTAAGAAACGGTAATAGTATCCCAGCTGGCAGTTGTTTCCCCAGTAGCCAAGATGGATTCGCTCTGATTTACTTCCCTTTTCCCTTCCCATTCCCATGCACAGTTCACAAAAGGAACTACAAATATCAGGATAGCAGTTTGTGGCCATGGCATTGGCATTCCGCCCTTGTGAAAGTCTTCCATGTGGGATCAAAGATGGGCCGCACTCTTACTGTCATGCGAGCAACGCTGCATTGCTTACACTTTCATGAATTCACTTGAGAGCAGGAATCTTATTATTTCTGCAAAATTCCTGAAATATCCTTTCATAGTAGTTCATGCTCAATAGACATGGATTGAAAGAGCGGGGCGCAGGGTACCAATACTAGAGAAACACAAATGGTGCAACCACTGGAATTCTCACAGGTTACTGCACTTTTTGGCACAAGAAAGTAAAGTATTACGTGACACTCAACATGAAGGCTGTGGAAATTTATTATCTGAAGTAAATATGTGATCTTAAAGGTATATTAACTAAGAGAATTTAGCTTCTGTGTCATACTTTTTAAGCTTACAAAATAGCCCGTCACTTCCCTGTATTTCTTCATGTTTATTGTAAGCCTTTTAAATCTCTTCTAAAAACTGCAAGTTTACATTCCCCAGTCTACTTAACTTTTTATTGTTTGTGTGCTTCCTGTGAAGACAGCCAGACAGACAAGGCTGATGAGAGGAAGCTTGTGCTTATCAAATACTTACTGGTAACCGTGTAATGGGAGTTTTTTTCGTACCAGCGGAAGCCCACTATTTCACCTAAGAACTCACCCATCTGAGGAATTTTAAATGGATGGAAAGTTATAAGCTAGCTAAAATGTCCTTCTGAAGGAGTGAAATGAATGCTAATCTAATTGCTGGAGAATGCATCAGCTGGGCTTTGAGATAAGACCTCTACGCTGGTTCCCCCTGCTGGATTTGAGGACGCACTGTGTTTAGAAATTGATGAAAGCAAAATACCTAAACCTTTTCATTTGAGGGCATGTTACTCAAATGGCAAATCCAGCATTCTTCTAGAATGCATTTACTCCACTATAAACATGCCAAGCATTTCCTGAGTTTGCTTCCCAAGTGCAGAAATACTGCAATGAGAACACTGCGCAGCCGAGACTCAAAGTGGAAAACACAAGCCTGCCACTGGGGCGGCTGCGTTAGGGAGCAGGACGGCAAGCATGCGGGTAAGGGTAAAAACCCAGTAGAAGTAGATTAGGAAAACAGCCAGACTGGTTTTATTATTATAAAGCTGCACTTGGGGGTCTGACCATGAATTTCCTTTTCCTGCGTTTAGAACTGCTGGAACCAATTCCTCACCTTCCTGTGACTTAATTGTTTCTCTTTCCCTTCTCATCTTCCTCTCTTCACAAGGGAGCTTTTTACCCCTACTCCACAGGAGATGTGGCAACCAGACTAATTTTACAGGCAGCCTGTCACTGCAGACTTCAAGCCTATTGTGAAATATGTGTGAAAAGGTCTGTCTGTGGGGAGAGAGAAAAAAGCTGGCAGATTTTTCCTGCTTGACGCTGAGTCAATTTGGTGGGAGGAAAGGGGCACATACTGATGCATGTTTTTGACAATTATTCCGCACCGGCTTAGCCTGGTTAAGGAGCAGAAGCAGCAGTCATGGCTGTTTCCTTCCTAGAGCAAAGCCAATGGCGTCGCCTCCTCGGAGGACCAGAACAAAGAAAATGTCAGATCATCATGTGGTATTTGTAAATATGCCATTTGGAACACTGGATTTAGCTAGCTACAGAGCGGCCCCAGGTTCTCATATTAAAAGTTATACTGTGTCCCCTCTGACAAATGGTGCAGTGCTGGGCAGAGGGAATTCTAAATATACTAATATATTCATTGATAGCATTCCTTCCCCACTTCAGAGTGTCACTCTTTTTAGTTTATTTATTTATTTTGTCATTCTATTATGAGCTTTTTATTTCATTTTATGTCAATCCCAGATGTTTTCTCCTCTGCCTCTCTCCAATAGGTTCTTTGTTAGAGCCGCTTGGTGAAATGTTTCTCCGTTGCTTCTGAGCCTCCTGTTTAGTTCAGGGGAGGATTCCCCAACCTCTTGCCTCTGGATTAAGAGCTGGTAGTAGTAGCAGATAGTGGGCCAAAGCACTCAAGCCAAACAAGGTTAAGTGATCTGAGCCTGGTTGTTGGTGGGCAATTTTTTTTTTTTTAAAGATTTTATTTTTTCCTTTTTCTCCCCAAAGCCCCCCCGGTACATAGTTGTGTATTCTTCGTTGTGGGTTCTTCTAGTTGTGGCATGTGGGACGCCGCCTCAGCGTGGTCTGATGAGCAGTGCCATGTCCGCGCCCAGGATTCGAACCAAAGAAACAATGGGCCGCCTGCAGCGGAGCGCGCGAACTTAACCACTCGGCCACGGGGCCAGCCCCTGTTGGTGGAGAATTTTTAAAGGGCTTTGCTGGGCGACTCTTCTGCTCCTTGTGGCATTGGCTGAGGTCATCGTTTGGCTGCATTCAGCGGGCAGCTGGGCTCAATTGGCAGGTTTAGGAGGCTTTACCCACATGTCTGGCTCCTCGCTGCTCTGCCACATGGCCCTACTATCTCTCCACGTGCCTGTCTCCATTTGGAGCATCTTTACGGCGTGATGGCTGGCTCTCCAGAGGGAGAAAGTGGAAGCTGCTAATCCTGAGGCCTTAGCATGGAGGGCCCAGAACGTCACTTCCACATTTCACTGGTCTAAACAAGTCACAGAACCAATCTGTATTCAAAGAAAAGACAGAGAGATTCCACTTTTTGAGACACAAAAGATCTTGGCCATCTTTAACACATAGAAATATATGCTGGTAACTTCTGCTTTGTTTTATGTACTTTAACTATATGTTTTATATTTTGTTCCTGTGTCCTTACATAAATTTATTGGTTTTTTTTTTTTTATTTTCAAAACAAAAAGAGATTTGGAAAACCTCCCAGTAATGAGTTATAAAATCATGCTTTTATTTTCCTTTGAAAAGCTTATTTTTTCTACACAAAAACCCACAGTAATATATTATACATTTTAAGCCAAAAGAAAATTTTAGCTAGTTTCTAGTATATAGCCAACATTGCACCTACCCAGTGATTTATTTTTCAAGGAGTTATGTACTATGGCATAAACTTGACTAGCATAATCTGTTCAAGACAAAATATTTCATAGCATAGATATGTCAGACTGTCATATGTAAGTTAAATAAAAATAGATACTTTTTTTGTAACATATATCAAACAGGAAAATAAAGGGCATAGAACTTAATTAACCAAGTGTCCTTACACGGTGCATATTGCTTGAGTCAAGGGAAAAGAGCAGATTGAAATTAAAATCTGTATTGCCTTTTGGGAAATGCTGTGCAAGGAGAGAGATGTTACTAGGTCTGCTGAGTGAATTTCGTTTACTGCAGTTCAGCATTTCATCAAGCAAATCGTGTGAGAAGGGACGAGTATAAATTTGCCTATTTATGTAGATAATTTTTCTGTTTCATGCTCCTGATTCATCTCTCTGCCTTGCTTTATGGGGAGTCACGCTACATTGGTTCCAATTAATTTCACTGCTGCATATTAGCCATAAAGAGATATTTCATAAATTGACTTGATGTGTTTTTTTTTTTCCTCTGTGGTTTTCTTGAAAGATGAGAACGGTCCAGAGGAAAAACACAGTGTGGAAGAAATGGAAGGGCAGAGCCGAGAAGCAGGTGGGCTCAGGTTTCTTTTGAGGAGTCTCCTAAGCCTCGTCTACAGAGGTGAACAAGGACTTTACTCAGTGCTGTTTTCTGAAAATTTCTGAATTTCCTTTTCACCAGCTTAACTTCCGTGTTCATTCAGGTCTTCCTCAGGAAGCCACCAACTCTATTAATTACGAGTGACAAGGCTTCCGGTCAGAAGGGTACATTTCCACGTCTCATTGCCCAACTCCGCTTTTCTTCCATGCAGTAACAGTTTGCTTAGCAATGCTCTAAGAGGGCCCAGCTGAGGGTGGCAATGCCAAGTCAGAGACTGGCTGACAGGATAGGTCAAAATCAGCAGATTTCGGTACTGTGTGGGAGGTTCCCCTTCTGGCCTCCTGACTCCATTTTAAATGAGGTTTCCCTTTATTAATTATCACTCTATTAATAAAAATATAAATGCAGGAAATTTAAAAAAAAATCAGCAGATTTCGTTTGGAAATGGAAATTGTTTAAAGAAAATAAATAGGAGGCTTTCCCTTCACAATTAGTGGAATGTTCTTTACTGTTTTGCATTACATTTTGAAGAGTCATGCTTCTAGTTATTTCTTTGCATGTCATAAGACATGGTGTCACGGAGCCTGACTACCCCATACGCAGAACTAATGGGAAGTCCACAGCCTTCCTGACAAGGCCTCTGTTCACTAAAGAATAGATGTGTCAATTGAATGGTTATAGATTCTCTCCTGTAGATTACAAATTGAACATTTTTAAATAAAATAGCACTTAAGACTCAAAAGAGATTGTCACCACCTTCAATTTATCATCTCTTCCTACCCATTTTTGTACTCAGGCACGTTCTTGGAAAGAATAATAGGCACAGTTACGCAGTTATCAACATAACCACCAAAATAAAAGTATCCTTCTTCCCTTTAGTTTTCAAATCATTCTCCCAGTTCTAATGAGCTCCATGGAGGGGCATTTTTTTAAACAGTGGGCTCTGTCTAATGTGTACCAGGCACGTCCTAAGCCATATGCTGAACTTTTGGAAATAAACCAGGTGGTGGGATAAGTTTTTCACTGAAGACTTCCTACATTAACCTTGGAACTTTTGCTGGAGAACTGGAAGCTTTTATTATTAACCTGGAAGATGGAATTGAAGAAGGCCCATCAGAGAAAGCACTGAAGCAAGGCAGCAAGGACCTTGTGTACCTGCTGCCGGGTCAGCTGGCTCGCTTTGCTGAAATGCAGTCCTTGCAATGAAATGAATTTCTGATACAGCAAACTGTGGTTATCCACACCCTCCCCGCCGGCTCCTGACCCACACATCATTATGCTCCCTGGAAGATGAGTCCTATGTGAAAAGCTGTCACTGTTTTTACTGTTTGGGGCTGACAAATATTAGTCAACTAACTGCTGACAGCTGAGGCCATTCTCTAAATGCTAAGGCTTCACAGATTTTATTCACTCACTGCTCTGTCCCAAACTATCTTTATCGACATAGATTTTTCCCACTGCTGTTCATACACACACGTACACATGCACACTCACGCACACACATATATACACGCACATACATTTGCCTGTGTTTCATTTATTCATTCTTTTTCCCCTTAATCAGTTGAAAGCAGGCAGTTTCTTTTTGGATTTGGGATCATCTTGCCTGTTAGCAGAGAGTGGTAGAACGTAAGCCCTTTCCAACACCTCTTGGATCGATAGCATTATCCCCACTATATGGGTACCTCTCAATGTAAAGCAGAGACCAAAATGCACGCCTGAGGGGCTCCTCGTGCTCTTCCAGGTGAGCCGCCTGGCTGGCATGGAGTCCAATGGCAGGATTCAGCTATGATCCTGGCCAGTGTCGACATACATTGTTATGTCCACTCCGCTCATTTGATCACCTCTCTAATTCAAGTGCAGAGAAATTAAAGATGAAGTTCTGGTTATTAAAGCCTTTTTGATATACTGTTATTCTTCCACACTAAAAATACCTACTTTTCATTCAATATCTTTTCCAGCTTTGATTTTGATTGTACAACTCCACAGCCCTCCTCCACATCATGAAAAAAACGCAATCTCAAACCAGCACAATCCAGCAGTTTTGATTGCTGTTAAGATCAAATCCAATCAAAGTTGTAGATAATATTCCACAAACAGTCATTTAACAAATATATATCAAGGGTTTACTGTGATCCAGGCACTGTTCTGGGCACTGGCATACAGCAGTAAACAGTAAAGACAATATCCTTGCTTCCTTGAAGCTTATATTCTGATCAAGGTATCCAAAAATAAACAATAAACAAAAAAGTATAAGGTAGTGATAAATTCCTTGCAGAGAAATGAGGTAATGTAGAAAGAATACTGAGAAGGCAACTCCCCACTGGCTGGATTTGGGGACAACTCCCTGAGGAAGCCATAATTAAAATGAGATCTAAATGATGAGATGGTGGAAGAGCAGTCAAATGGAGGGAACAGATAAGGCAAATGCCTCTAGGCCAACTTAGGCTTAGCTTGTTGGAGAAAGAAGGCCAGAGTGGCTGGAGCATGGTAGACTAGAGGGAACATGGTATAAGATTTGGTAAGAGATCATAGGACCAAATTATGTCTGATTGTGTAAGATTTGATTTTATTAGAACTACAAAGAGAAACCAGTGAAAGTTTTTAAGTAGTGGAGAGACATAATCTCTGTTTTAACAAGCTCACTTTGCCTGTGAGTAAAAATGGGTCAAAAGAGCCAGAGTAAGACCAGTGAGAAGGCTACAGCAGGAAAGCAACGATGGTGGTTTCTGGAAATGTAGACAAAATGGACTGATTTGTGTTACATTCCAGAGATAGAGGTAATAAATGTGCTGATGGATCAGATATGAGGTATGGGAGGAAAAGGAACTCAGGATAAATCCTAGGTTTTTAGCATCAGTAACTATGAGGATGATGGTACCACTTACCAATATATGGAAGACTGGCCACAGGGAAGTTTTTGTTGAGAACGTTAATACTTCAGTTTTGGATTATAAATTTGAGAGGACTCTTAGCTGTACAGGATGTCAAGAAACCAGTTAGATACATGAGTCTGGATTTCTAGAGAGGAGTGGACCAGAGTTACAGGTTTGAGAGTCACTGGCATATAAGTGGTATTTAAAACCATGGATGAGATTCACTAGAGAAAAAATGTAAGTAAAGAGAACAATGGGGCCTGGGACACCATGATGTCTAGATATGTGGCAACAGGGGAGAAAGAGCAGCCACAAGATGAAAGTGTTTCAGAAATAACAGAGTAAAGACTCTGTGAAATGCCACTGAGAAATGAAGTAAGAGAAGAGAAGTGGCCACTGGATTGTCAAAGGGAGGTCACTGGCACCTGTGATAAGCGAATTCTTGGAGGAGTATTGAAGCCAATGGGGGTGAGTTATGGAGGGAATGCAAAGTGAGGAAGCAGAGGAGAATAACAGAGACTGCTCTTCCAAGGAGTTTTGCCGTGATGGAAAGTAGAGAAGTGGGAAGATTGACATCAAAGGAACGTTATTAGTTTGTTCTTCTTCTTTTTTTTGAATGGAAGATTTTCACCTAACAGAAGAAAGTCAGTCACCATCTCCAATTATCCCCTTACTAAAAATTTTACTCTCTGTTCTAATAGAGACATGACCTAAACATAATAGTCATATACATTATGGACAAGAGTATGCTAGAAAATATGTGATTTGACCTTAAGTGTGTGTTAGTTATCTTGCATGCATGAGTTATCTTTAGTTCCATGACCCTGTTACTGCATGAAAAAAACATTCATTTATTTTCCAATTGTCAAGTATTAACCATTATAAATGCTTTTGATATGTTAGTAAGTTACTTTTCTATTATCCTGGAGGTCAAATGTGAGTGGAGTCACTCTGGTGCCAAAGATACTGAGAAGAAAGATCAACTCTGACGAGGTTAATTGCTGTTCTAAGGGGAACAGCGACCTCCGATTCCTTAGTCCTCACTCTGTGCTTGGGTGACGTGAAATCTCCAAACGGCTTTTGGTGCTTTCCTACAAATGGTCCCCTTCTCCTGGGCCTCTGCACTGGCAGCCATCAGACATGCTCCCTGCCATTTGACAGCCTGGCATAAAGGAGAAGTATAGTGCTAAGAAAAACCAGACTTTAAAAACACACACATAAAAACACTTTGGAGAAATTTTCAAGGGTATACTTTCTTTCACAATCTGTTACTAAGAAAAATAATGTACCATTCTTCTAGAGGTGAGGAAGAAGCAGAATGCCATAGTATAAAAAGTACCAACAATTAGTATTCTTCACCAAAAGATTACATGTAGTTCATCCGGCTCTGTCTTAACTGAAGGCTTCTGTTGCACTTATAAAAGAGAGCCAAAGAACCGTTTAGTATCTTAGAGCATGAAACAGGCTCATCCTTCCTTCAGTGGAGCAGGGAGGGAGGTGCGGCCAGCTGGGAAGCTCCAGCTTGACAATGTCAACTCTGAGGCAGTGTTTCTCTTTCTGCTTTACAGATGGTGTCAACGCTGCTACTGTGCCCCGCTCTGCTTCAGAAGAGGCAGTTGAAGTCTGTAAAGACGAAGGTATGAGGCCACTTCCTACATGTAAAAATCACCAACTCTTGGAAGACCACCTGGGTTTTGTTTATATGGAAAAATAAAGTAATGAGCAAGTCTAATTCTCTTTAAGCATCTGTTTCCAACGCAATCAAATATCCCACCCACTCTGTTTTATTCCATATCTGCCCTTTTCAAAATTTATATCTACATGTACATTTGTGCCTCTGAAAAGTAACTATTTATGAAACAAGAGAATGATCAGAGAAATTATGTTTAAAGAAGATGTTTATTTGAAACACTAGAATTAGGCAGTTCTGCTGTTTACAGCTATTTGTCAGGAATAAGTTCAAAAGAGTGGCATTGGGAACTACCTACCGAGAGCTTCATTATCCAGACATAATAAGAAAGAAAATTCGTTTGAAAGGCATCCTTAGATCCTTAGAATTAAATATTTGGCAAGAGCATCATCCCTCATTCTATGGACAGCTACTAAGAGAAAATGTTACCAACCCAAGTATCTCTAGAAGAAGAAAAGAACGAAAGAAAAGTTAATTTAGGTTCTAGAAGAAAATTTGAGGGAGACATAGTGGGGACATTCATGTGCAGATTATAGAGTTTAAAAATATATATTATCTAAAGGAAAATAAAATGGTCCTCTTTTTTCCTTCTCTCTTGATTAACTGTCCCCACACAAAAAGGTAATATTATTTTATGTCTGTCATTGGTAACTACTGGCAATCCTTCTATGATTGGCAGACCAGATTGCTGTATTTGTACAAACGGACATCTTGTAAACCATGCGATCTACATGGAACTTTTGGATAAGTATGCTGAATGCATGTCTTCAGTTTGGAGTGACATGAAAACAGATCTGTACTTGATATTGATACCAGCTACTCCTTGAATCGGTGTTGAGAAAATCAAAGTGGTCTTAAAATTTTAATACTCAGCTGTTTGCATCATTCACTTCATTTCATATTGCCTGGTAAATGGATTTTTCTGAACAAGGCATCCTTGTGTACTGAGGGTAGTTAACTAAGATTGTGAATTCTGGGGCCAGATGGTTGAGGCTTAAATCCTGTCATTGCCACTCAAAGTTTGTGTAACCTTTGACAAGTAATTGAAGGGATTAACAGGTAATGACAAGTAATTAACTTTGTGCTTCAGTTTTCTACTCTGTAGAATGGGGAGAATAGTAGTATTTACCTCACAGAATACAATAATACATGTCAATTGCTCAAATGGTTAACCTGGCCTGTGTGCAGAATGGGTTTCTCAGAAGATAGACTCTGTGATGGAGATTAAGGAGCAGATATTTATTAGGGAGAGCTCTTGGAATCAATACCTGAGAGAAGAAAAGGAAGGACGTAGAACTGGGTAGAGGGAGAAGCTGAACTTCCCCTGAGAAATAAGGCATTCTCGCCAGAAGCCACAGCTGGTCTGAAGAGCGCGTGACCCTTCTGAGAAGTCCCAGTCTGATCAGAGACCTGGACTATTAGAACCTCCCGTTGGTAAGCACCTGTCGCTGGCTGCCTTGGGAAGGGGTGTGGCCTGGGTGAGGCAATTCTCTTCTGTTGAGGTAGTCCTGGAAGCTTGAGAAGCATGAGGGCTGTCTGCGGAATGAGAACAAGTCCTTGATTCCTGAAGGGGCAGCCAGGACTGAAGTGAAATGAATTCCAATGTAAAGCTGACCTGAGAAGGTATCTGTGGGTTGATACGAGTTCTGAGGTTACTGATAAAATAGGGCATGCACTTGTCTGTGGCCCAATACAGTATCCACCATACTGTTATTTTTGTGGTCCTTTTCTTGTTCATTGCCACTTTTCAAATGAATTCCTTGTCTCCTTCCTTCATACTACTCAGATACGTGTTCTGATGTCCCTAGTTTTAAAACCATTTGGTATATCTAAAAATGTAAATAATGTCAGATGTCCACATCATGTCTGATGTGAAATCATCTTACAGAGAGAAATAAACCTGACCAAGTCAGAGAGAAAAGACAGAAAGTGGTGTTCATTCTAAGAAAATAATTTTGGACATTTCAATCATTTAGCTTGAGATAAAAATTTTAAAATATCATGAAGTTGAATGGCAGAGTTTAGAAAACAAGAGAGAGAATCTAATTTAAGTGCTTCAAGCTGAGATTTTTCCTGTTGAGTTGTTTGGTTTGGAAATATCACATCTTTATAGAAACACTCTGTTTGTGATGTTTCTTGATGCTTTCAGGATCTCACACCGTTAATTGCTCATGCCAGGATCAACTTCTCAGAATAATTTTAGGATTATTTTTCCATAAAACTTTTAATGGTGGTAACTCCAATGAGTTCTGTCGTGTATCACAAATGCAACTCCCCAATAAGACTAAATATGAAGTTTTAAGAATTATACTGAAATAAACTGTTAATATCCATTAACCTCTTCATCCAGGGAGAGGAAAAGTGTTTTGAAATCCACATTAGTATGTGATCCAGTTTCAATTTAAAATAGAACAATAGGATATGATTTTTGCCTTTTCTTTCTGCAATAACATGCACAGAACACTGATTTTCATTGATTATCAGTCCAAAGCTTAGACCAATCCTCTAGTGCTTACAGAAATGCCATCTTGACTGATAGATACATAGCTTAGAATGAAAAAGAAATGAATTTGCCATTGAAATCCTCCAAGATTGAGGTCAAGTTGAGGTTAAAAGGCAGTTGTATGTGTTGAGGATTCATTTCAAGCATTCATCATTATTAGATTCATGCAGAAATATATCTCCTTGGTGACATCTGGGCTATTTATGAGTTCTGCAGTTATAAGATCACTTATAAAAATGCTTATTACCCTCTCCAGTTTAAGTGGCAGAACATTTTTGCTGACCAAAGGTCCTGAAGGAGCCCTTGCTCTCTTGCTTTTGTTTCCAGACTTTGATACTGACCCAGTACCTTCTTCTTGGGTTTTAGAATCACCAATATTATGGACGGGCCTTTTTTTTTTTCCTCTTTCCAATATAATTCCCAAAGATTTTGAGACCCATCAGTTATTTCCCGATTTTCTTGTTGGTTGGCTGGCTTTACATTTGTTATAACTTTTGTTTCCACATGAAAGTAGTGTCTTATAGAGTGCAAGGATTGAAAACAAGCAAACAAAAATGAGCTGGCTAACATCATTTGGTTGGGAGATAAGATCTTTTGAAAATTGAAACAGGCATGTGAAAGTTGAAGAATTTTAAGAGGAAGTGTGTTCTAGGGTGTCTTTTATACCAGGGATTGTGTTCAAATGTTCTAGACATATTTCCCACTGGGTACCGAGAATGGATGCTTATTGCCCATCTACCCCACATAACTGCTAACAGTGCAATCTGCTAACAGAAGGAGGTACAACTGATTGGCTTACAGATCAAGAGCTAGATTGTGAGCTATAGACTGAAGACACCTGTTCCAGGTTGACTCATTACAGCCCTTGGGTGGGCAGGAGTTGAGTTGGGAGGGTGAGACATGAGGAGAGGAATGCTGATGAATAATTCATCCACACAGTGGGTGCAGGCTAAGGATGCAGCAGCCAGGACTGAACTGAAATGAATTCCAAGGTAGAGCTGACCTGAGAAGATATCTGTGGAACGATAGGAGTTCTGAGGTTATTTATAAAATAGGGTATGCACTTACCTATTAAAGAATTTCTTCCTCTACTGCTAAAAATACTCTATTTATTTAATGGTGGTTTGCACTTTAAGGAAAAACAAACCCAGGGGTACAAATGTTAAGGCTATTTAAGCTAACAATTATAGAGGCAATAAGATGACGGAGAGAATAAACACAGGAATAAAATTCATATTAGGAATATCTTGTACTCTGGTTGAAACTGCTGCAAAGTTATTATTATTATTATTATTATTATTTAAGATATAGTCAATCTCCTTAATTCAAGGAGAACTTTCTGTTCTAGTTGTCTCAACACTCTTAATAGCTAATCATCCCTCACAGCCAAAGCCAAGGCCAGGGCACCTTACTGGGGGGAAAAAAGTTCTGTTTAAGTACATCCTGATTCTCCTGTCTTATTATTTAATCAGGACCTAATTTGAATTTGAAGGTCAACTAGCCCAAATCATATGCTCATTAATATTAAAAGCAAAATAAATTAATACTCAGGTACATGCACACCCGAGCTTGTATTCCTTTGGAGCTCTGTGTAAGTCACATCATTGTTGCTTGGTATTTATGAAGTGGGATGTCGCCTGGCAAAAGATTTCTTAACCTTTACTCTAGTTTCAAACCTCCTAGAAGTCAAATTTCTGTAGAAAACTAAAACAAGAGTTAGCCTCACCAAAGAAAGCAAAAGAGAAAGGAAGAGGTTACCTATGAAAAAGCGGATTCAAGAGTATACAAGAAGCGAGTATAAATGCTCCCAACCATTGGTCACTGTAAGCCTGGGCTGGTGGTGTGGGCTCCGACTGGCTCTGAGCAGTGTTTTTTTACCTTGTCTAAATCGTTGGGGTGAAAGAAAACATTGGGACACCCATGAAATTCCCCTCAGACTTCTCCAGTCTCATTTTTCTTAGTCCTTATCCTATAGGTGTCCACCACCCCCTACTAAGTGTCCTTCCCACTACCCAGCATGGTGGGACAGAGCTATCTGCTGGCCTGGATCTGCACTGATAGATCGTCTGGATACACTGTTACAACCCTGAGTTCTCACCCTTGGATTTTAAGAGTCTAAAGTGTGGAATGAAAGCCGCTGCCCTCTGGCAGATCAGTGAAGGGGAAAGAACTAAGATATATGGAGTGTCTCCTGTACTCAATGCTTTACATTGACGTACAATTTATTTTTCATTGCATAAAAGGGTAACCCGAGACTCAGGAAGGAGAAAGAGAAAGGTGTGTGGAGGGGTGGGGAGAGGAGAGCTGCTTTGTTAGTCTTGACTCCCATAGCTAATACTACACGAGCTTACTGAATCCTAGTATTTTATTCTATTTTTGATATAACAATTATTTTTCTTTCATAAGGATAATACTTATTTATTGTAAAATATATTAAAATGCAG